CATGCTAATATTTCATAAAAACCTCGGTGGATTAGTCTTGCACATATGTATTTTTAAGTTATGGTGTTATAAGATCATTTTACCCTAAGATACATAAGCAATGACTTTTTTTTTTTTTCAATTTGACCACTGCTGACCTTCTCTGCAAGTGTGTGTGCTTGTTTAAGAGGATTGTTTTTGCTCTAGTCTGTCCTGACTTCTGTTTCCAGAGACAGCAACATTAGCTGTGTAACTACATGTTTATAAGCACAGTTTCTTGGTCCAGAACAGGTATTTTCAAGCTTTTACCAAAGTGATGTAAAGATCTCCACATCCTTAATGGATTCTGAAAACTTAGATGTATTATTTCTAACTCTAACTTACAGGCTATGGACATTTCTCCCCAAGTAATAATGGTAAAAGTTAATAATGAATAATGTTAAATGCTCTTAAGGGAAAAAAAAAAAGGTGTTCTATAACGTGGAAGCAGGCTGCATTTCTTTCAGTTTGAGAAATTCCACATTTTTTGTGCTAAATGAGGAAAAAGGAAGTATTTTTCATTCAAAATTATAGTTTTTCTCTTTCTAATTGCATTTTTAGAATCAGTTATTTGAATTTTTAATCAATTTTTATACAGTTTTGTTTAAATAGTACTAGGGAAAAAATTAGGAATTTTCAAGGGACTTTTTTCCGTTTGCCTGTAACTAAACTGGATTCAGCTAATGAACAATCATTGTGCTTTGCAGGATGCTTGTAGTTGCTGTATCCTTGATTTGAGAAAATCATGTCTGGCAGTGAAAGGCAAGGTGCAAGCAGGTCTTTAAACTGCATCTCCTGAGCATCCTTTGCTGCTCCTCTACCCTGGGTAGATAAAGGGGGACTCTTACTCTTCGGACCCTCACAGCCCCCAGCCTCTGGAATTCTTTTTGGGAATGCCGCTGGGTGGCAGCATTTTCCCGTGCAACTCTGAAGAGAGGCAGTGGGGAGAGGCTCATTAAGGGGAAAAAGATTAAAGAAAAAAATAATAAAATAAAGTCAGTGGGGAAGGAAGAAGCTGCATTAAAGGTTGCCACTTGGAAGACCAGCATGCATCTTTGCTTCAGTGTAACTTATGCAAATCTCCAGTATTTGCCTGTCTTCTTTTAATTCCCTGGTAGACAGGATACATAAATTGAAATGAGGAAATCAAAGGCAGGATCTGACTTTATTTTTATCAGTGCTTTTATAGTTAGGGGGATCTATTCTAAAGTGGAAAGCTGGCTTCTGTCTCCGAGAAGACAAGCAGCGTTTGTGAGTTTTCTCCACTCTCTTTTTTTACTCCTAGAGCCAATACTTTCTTGGCTGTTTTGGCTTGTGCTTCAGAATGCAAGTTGACTTGCTTCTCTTATGGTTTGCCCAGGCACTTACATGAATGAACTTTAACACAAGCAGCTTTGTTCATTTCCATCAGCTCTTGTGCTTACCTTGCAAATGATGTGATGCCTTCTTTCCTACTTGTGGCATATATGGGGCGCATGATAGCCCTCTTTTTTCTCTGTCCTTTGGGAAGAAACATCTTCAACATGTCCTGCTTCCAACATCCCCTTGGATACATTGCAGGCTATTACCAAAGATAACTCAGGGTCTCCAGAGGCAATCCATGGCAGCAGTTCCTTTGTGGTTGGTTCCTGGTTTGCCTTCCAAGGCTGACCCAGCTGCTTCTGCTGAGCTGTGTCTAGCTCCCTATCAAGCTGTGAGTTGGGAGGCAGCATACAAACTAGGAGAGAGCTCAAGCTAGTAAGCTTCACAAAGGACTGACAAAATAGGTTGCCATAAATTCTGTTGTATTATATTCCACTGAAGATTTATGGAGAGAAATATATGAAACCTACTGTTGTAAGTTAATTATTTGAATTAATTAGATGGGGGGATGTGTGTGTAATATATATAGATAGATATATATGTATGGGTATAACTAAAAACCAATGGATCATGTATGCTGTATGAGGCAAGGGGAAAATAAGTAGCCTCATGAGGAGTTAGCAAACTTTTGATGCTAGATTATTTTTTAATAATTTTTTTCCCTGTATCTTCTTATAATTGGGAAGATTTCATTTGGTCTAGTCCAGTAGGGGAAAAAAAAACAACAGTCCGATCAGCTCTGCTGGCAAGACATGAGGTGGAAATGACCGTGGCTAATCGTGGGTATTTCAGAATATGTGATCTTCTCTAGCTTACACCCAAGCTAACTCACTCATGGATGCTTAAGTAAAATTCATTTGCTTATCTTTGGAGAGCTAGAGCTCATGATCTCTTCCAATATTATAGAAAAAGCACTTCACGCTGTTTTAAGGCTTGTTATTTTGCTTTTGTCTTATCTCCCCTCATCATGGCCTACGTTTGAAAAAAATTGGTGTGAAACAGTGTGGTTTCATTTGGGAAAGGTTAGTGTTTTAGAGGAATGGCACTGTTTACTTTTTCAAGGGGAATTGGAAGGTCAGAGAGGGGGGATAAATTGTCCTTTCTTGCAACAATTGTAATTTGATTTTTACTAATTTTTCTATATTCCTGTAAGTTACCTTTGCATAATTAATCTCTCATACTGCAAGTGTACACTATTGATAGATGTCTGCCAAATGTTCACTCCTTTGTTGCCTCAGAAAGGCTGTTTCTTCATCATGGATACCTACCCTAATTTTGAAGAAAGCTTTGCACATATTACAAGTTTCCAGGTTATGCTGTTCTGTCTGGTGTGGAGGGCACTGCTGGCATTATTGCTGAGCATTCAAGACTTAGGCTCTCAAGCTCCTTTTGTTTTCTTCTTTCATCCTCTGACATGTATTTGGTCTCATTTCTTTTCTGTTCTCCTTTGCCTTCTCTCCAAAGATATGCATGTGGAGCTGGCCAGACATTATTCTGCTCCTGACCTTATCTGGGCAGCTATTGAATCACAAATAGCAGAGAGAGAGTGAGCTGCAAATACCCTCAACAGTGTGCCTCTTGCTTGATCATTAGGATGAAAGGAGAAATGGGTAACATAATGGTATGGGTACCATCTTTAAAAAGAAGAAGACTGCGATGCATTTCAGGCCTTTTAAAAGTAAAGAACAGACAAGGATTTTTTTTTTTTAATTTTTAATGGAAATGACACTTGCGAATAGAGAAGCTTTTGAATGATGCGTTTGCTGTGCTACTCAACAACAATACAGAGAGCTGGTTGACATGGTTGGTGGCCCTCAGCTCCTTGAACACTGCTGGCCAAATAAATACCATTTGTAAGGCTGTTCCTGTGCCATGATGGGCACTGGCTATTGCAGGGCTTGACTTGCCTTAGAGAGAGAAAACAACTGACAAATCTAGGGCCTTAAGGCAGTTTAATGGGTCCTTGGGTCTTATACTCTTAGAGTGTGGCAAGCCACTGGAGGTAAAATTAACGATATTTTGGCTGGGCCATTTATAGAGCTGTGGTTTGTGGTGAAAATAAAACACCAGATTAGCTGTAAGAAAAGTAAAGTTGTGGAGTTTAAAAACATCTGATTTCTGCATAGAGCAAACCTAGCCTGTGAGGAGAAAATAAAAGGTCTGATATATCTGGACTGATACATTCTTGTCTTAAAGGTTGCTGTTGATGTTTAGGGATCAAAATTATAAACAAGTATACTAGACATTTTAAAAGAAAAATAAATTGTGCTCCATGTAGATCATTATTCCTATCACCCACAATGCTTTATAAAGCAGGTAAATTTGCTCACAGTTGGTTAGAGAAGTCTCTTCTCATCTTGAACCTGTTGTATTAGGGAGGTGTATATAGCTACCTTGCTCACCAAGGCCACACAGGGAGACTTTAAGTGTAAAAGCAAATGGCTTCTAAAAAAACTGTAGGCTTTGATCATAGCTGCACAGCTTCAGGTCTCTGAGATAGCTCTGAGAGGATGGTCTGTACATACAGTCAATACTGCCATTGTACCTTAAGTACGAGTGTGATATGCTTAATATTTTTTAAGCAGACTTCTCTGCTGTTAGTGATCTGTTTTCCACCCCAGGATTTAGACAGGGTTGGTGGCACATACTTGGTTCACCTGACTGCTCCCTGCTATATGGAATTGTAATTGTCCAAGCTGGTGTCATTCATGGCCTGCGACTAATGGATCCACCTTTGATTGACAGTGTACAACGTTTTGGAGCAGGGCAAAACTGTGTCTGTGCCCAGGCTGAGTGGGAGGCAATAAGCAGCCCCAGAGCACACTGACCTGTGTGATGCCTAGGCAGGATTAGGTTTATGGCACTGGATACTGTGTAACTGAGACCCTGATTTATCAGCCAGGTAATTGTGCACGCGATGATGTCCCCTGTTATGAGGCAGTGTGGAATAAGTAGTTCCCTTGTTTTATCCAAATTATCAGCCAAGGTATGGATGTGATAGTATTTAGACAGAAACTGGTAAAGCACATGCATTTGCTTTATTTATGCCTGTTTTCTCTGTGTTTTATTTTTCTCAGTTGTATGCAAGATGGAAGCAGAAGAGACAAGTGTTCTTAAATGGTAGAAAAATGTAAACAAGGGAGAAACTTACCCAATATCACCATACTTACACTTCTTATTTGTCTCTCAGCTTTTTACATATAAATATTTAATTGTCTATGTCTAAGAACACACTTTCTAAAGATTTTCTGGGGTAGAAATCCTATTTAATGATCTTTAACATATCTCCACTCCTGTTTTAATAGACAGGTTTGCTAGCAAACATCCTAATGTGAAAACATTACAACTAGGAGTCATGTTGTTAGCAGAATAAAATACAAGAAGTCTGAACAGGAAGACAATGTCACTGAATTTACAACTTGCTTCCCCTCATTTCCACTGCTTTATTTAGAATAACAAAGAAAACTAAACAACATTAAAAAAAACAAAAAAAACAAAAAAAACCCAAAAAAACCCTGATGATTTTTATGCAACCTGACTCATGACTTTGACCAAGCAAAGTAAATTACACTGGAGCAGGGAGGAGCTCTTCTCATAGCATCCATGTCCTTGCATCTCAGGTATCCTTGTCTGCCAAGGACACTGTTCTCCCCTTGCGACCACCTTGAGCCGAATTGCAGAGGTTGGCAGCTCCCAGAACCGTTCACAGCGTGCAGCAGAGGTAATGCTACAAAACCAATGTCTTGTGCTCCTGCTCTTAGTGCTCAGTGGTGCTCTTTGCCTCTAGCACATGTTTTTCTAGCCTTTTTGAAAGCATAAGCTCAGTCAAAAAAAAAAAATATAAGTACTGAAGTGACAGCTGACCTCTGCAGTTTTATGCAAAGGCAGAGATGTCTTGTGCAGCCCCTTTACAGTACATCTGTAGTCTGTGCCTGAGAGTAAAATCAATAAGTGCACAGATGTAGGATCAGAGCAGGCACAAATTCTGTGACTTACTTTCAATCTCTGTTTGCAGAAAATTCCTGTAATGGTCAATTTTCCTAATCTTATCATCCTCCCTCCTTCACTTCCCTTCTAAAATACTGAAGAAAGGGGTTTGGAGCTTGCTGAGAAAGGTTTGCTAGAGGTAAATGTGCCTGTGTCCAGTGTCTGGGAAGCAGCTACAAATGGGGGCTGCCCCTTGTACCAATCTCTGCACAGAGATGCAGCAGCCAGACACTCTGCAGCTCTTCAGAACCTGTCCTAGAGGTAACAGCATATCATGAAATAACTTTCAGCCTCACTTGGGCTCCTAAGCCTCTGATAGCTGTCGGCAACTAGTGAGAGACAAATTACATGTTTTTCCAGTGCTGTCCTTTATAACGATTGTGCCTTAACAGTGGGAGGAAAGGGGGTAGTTAGAAGTAGGTTTATTCCCAAAGGGACGGTTCGTTTCCTCTAACTACCACACTTGCCAGTAACTCCCTTCTCCTTCCCTGAGCCTCCCTCCTCTCCTCTCTTTCCCCTCACCCCATCCCTTGGCAATGTTACCTTTGCAGTCATGGCCTGCTCATGGCAAGGATTAATGGTTTATTGGAGTTTACATAGGTTACAGTAGAGTGGCACATATCCTTATAATTGCAATGCACCACAGTATATAATTTCATTAAACTGCACATATTATGGTTATTTGCTGTCATTCCCAAGACCTCTATATGCAGTTTTATCAGTCTCAAACGGCAATGAAATAAAAAATAAAATAAAATGGAATAATGCCTAAATACACGCAGAGAGGTCAAGGGATCCTGTATGCTGACTACAACAACAAATTTATCGTCTCATTTATGTGTGGGCAGGGAAAGGGAGCAATTTCTTCACTGTATTTTAATTAACTGTGTTTCACTGTGTGGTAGTAAAGATAATAACCATAACATTAGTGCAACTACTACACTATCAAATGCTTGTCACAGCCTAATACTCTCCAACAATATAGTTTCACAATGGAAACATGCACAACAAAAGAGCATCTTGTTTTGTTAATTTACTAGGGCTCTGTGTTTTTGGAAGGCCAGTACATATTTCTGTGGGACTGATTAAAATAGAAAGAAGTGTACATAGTAGAGAATAATATTTTTACTGGTGTGGGATTCATTTAACAAAAGTGTTCCTTCAGGAAAACAGAACCAAGATGCTAATGTTATACCTCATTTATTGCCAGCATATTCAGTGACATTTCATAATGTACATCTGTCAGCCAGAGATATAAATGAATGAGGTGAACCATGCAATTTACCCTCAGGAAGTTCCATTAGAGCCCCCAAAGTATAATATTTATGAGGTCAGAATCAATTAATCAGATAGCTGTATTTGCTTTTCAGCTCAGCATGCTCTTCTGCACCAAGCTGTTGCATCGAGAAAGTCTTTCCTATTTGGTAAGAGGAGTCAGTTTGTATGTGCTGCATGTAGTCTGTTTTGTAAATCAGTTACTTTCCTTACACAGTTTATGCTCCATACAAATACAAACTATAAATTAAGTGAATGTAAAATAAGTCTCTATCAAAATACATGGAAGACACATCTATTTCCTGCTCATTGCTGTAGCTGAGCTCCCTGCAAGTCTGTTGAAAATGAGAAAAAAACTGGGAGTAAATAGTGCGCCTCAACCAAAGATTATTCCAATAAAAAGAAAGTCTTCCTGGGAAAAGAAGTAAAAAATAGGTAATTCTAAAACTGATTTAATCAAAAGAATTCAACCTTATGAAGAAAACTCAGTACGTTTTGAGATGTGTTACCAAAACGTTTTTCCTTTGCAACCGTGTTCTGAATGCTCATTGCTGTAATTCCCCTTTCGTGGTTTGATTGACCATGTGTTTGCCTCCCTGAGAATGTGTGTGGTATTATTTCTGTTGTAAATTGCAGTCGTTTCCTGGGCTATTTTCAGATGTCTTAGAAACCACTCCTGGCACTCTGACTCTGGTGGAGGAGCAGGCTCTTGGCTGTCAGGCAGCTCTGTTGTTTTAGGGCTGAGCTCCCAGGAGCTGCAGGTGCACTGCAGACCTGCTGAAGCACCACTGACCGGTTGTTCTGGCTTCTGCAGAGTGCTGGCTGCTGCACTGCCCGCCAGGCATGAGCCTGGTCACTGCCCCAGCTGTAGATTCATGGTTCCTAAGTGGAGTCTTTCTTGTGAAGAGATTTTTAAAAACAAAACTTTAATTTAGATCTAGGGAGGTTTAACTCTGCATACGGAATGAATATTGATCATATTTGTTTTTTTTTTTTTGGTAGACAACAGACGCAAAGGACAAATTTTGATTGCAAAATCTGTGTCAGTGTTTGCACTGTCATAACTGATGCCAAGATGTGATCCAGCATTTCTAAGTTTCTTTAAAAATGAGCTTATTTAAGATGGTTCAAAAATTGCCTGTTGTCTAATAAAAGGACTTTTCTCTTTCTAGAACATTTCTTGAAAGCAAGAAGGGCATATCTGAAATCACTAATAGAGTTATTCCTAGCAAAGATTTAACCAGGAAAAAGTCCCAAAACAACACTTTACCTTCACAGTTTATAAGTAAAATCCATAACAACCAGTGTATTTTGTATTTAAACCTTTCCATTTTGTTGTGGGGAGTCGAATAGTTCATACTTCAGATTTGGTCTTTTGCTCTTGAAGAATGTGGATGGTAAGACAAATCTGGGATTGTTTTCAACCAAACCTGCTGTCAGAAAACACTGATATATCCAAAAGCTAGTACCCCTCTGATGGGAGATCTGGGCAAGAGGAGAAGGAGGGATGAGGTCACTGAGTACCACATAGCCCCGTGTTTGTAAGTACTCACTACAGAATTAAAGAGCAATGTTCAATGTACACCTGAAAGCCAGGATGTGTCCCAGTTTGGAGGAGGAGCTAGAGTCTGAACCTTGCGGATCTAGTGTAAGTGCACTCAACTCATTAGGTGCTCCTGGCCAAATGGAGACTAGGAGGGAAGAAGTTTTACGGTTTCAGCAGCTGAGTGGGACAGAGAAGAGATCATAGAGATCATACAAGAGATCAGTCATCCAATTTTTCAGGAATATAGAAAAGCATGTTGGAGTTTTATAGAAGTCAGTGCCAGTGACCTCAATGCTTCTGCTTCCATTCCCAAGTGAGCATCTCAACCATCCCTTAGGGAGTTTCTCCTTTCCTTCTGGGCTCTTGTGCATCAGAATGAAACAAATGAATGGCAGCCGAAATCTGCCTGCACATGAGGTAATAAAAGGCAGAGCTAGGTGTTCAGGCATTCTCCACTGTGGTAGACGGTGGCACTGTCTTTATGCAACAGCCAGCTTATCAGTAAATGCAGTATTTCTATAAACATGATGTGTGCAGGGTCTGATTTGTGTATTTTTGTTCTCAGTACTTAGTTGCATCAAGACCTAGCGAACATCAGTCTGTTTCTGTTTGCTTGTTTTTATTTTCCTTGGGGTAGTGAGAATTATTGGTGGGATATCACTGACCAGCTGGAATTCATGATATTTCTCTTCGGTGTGATTTTGCTACTGAAGCCTTGTAAACAGAGGGCAAAAGCTTCTGGAACAAGAGTGAATACCCTTGTTTGCATATGAATGAGTATTTGTATGGCCCTTATTCTCAGCATTTATGCAAATACAAACTCATACATGTGAATGGGAGTGGAAAAGGGAACAAAAAAACAGAATCAAAATGAGAGGCTGGTTTCATGGAAATGTTTGTTTTCTGTTATTTGTCCTGCTCCTTTCATCTCTTCTGTTGCACAGGGTTTCAAAAATGGCCCACACCAAGTGTGAGACTGTTTTTGGGATAAGGTTTTTTGATTTAACCAACTAGCAGAAGGAAAGAATAGCTCATCTGAATGGATCACATAATTTTTTCCAGTCAATACTCCAAGTTTTCCTGCATCTCCTACCACTGTGGGACAACTCAGGAGACCAAAATCAGTGATGATTTTAGAACAAGATGAAGAGGTAATAGTTTCCTTGTCAGGAGTATTATTGCAGGCTACTCTATGTTAGTAGATAAGGCAGGTTAGATTTTGCCCTCTTTACCTGAAAAGTAAGTAATAAGCACAGTAAGTAATTTCTTATCTTGCAGAAGGAGAACTCTCCTTCTACAACCAGCCATGACTATCTCATCTTCCTGTCTGTTGATACAGTCCCTGTCACATACTACCCTGCACCATGCAGCGGGGAACTGCTTGGGATACTGCAGGCTGGCTAGGATTTGTGCTTGATAAAGAGTATTTACAGGTAACTGTTCTTCCAAAGTAGAGCAAAAGCAACAGAATTACAGATTAGCAAAGGAATAAGAGAAGCTACCAATGACTATTTCTGTATTTGCACAATGCTTTGTGGCAAGACCTGAAGCAAGTGAGGTGAGGTGTTGCCTCTTAATTTAGTACAGATCCTTCATTTCCCATAAACCCACATCCTGGAGGCCCCTTTTAGACTGATTGATATGTGCCTCCCTAGGTTTATGCACACTTTTTATGGAAGTGTTTTTTTTTTTCAAGGCCTGTCTTTTAGGGTTCTGCTTTTAAAATTTTATCTAAGTTTTCATGTTAGCATGGGCAGCAATTATTCACTGACATACTGTGGGATTACATCCAGTAAATTAAGATAATTCTTGCTCTGTTTAGATCTGTTCCCCTTCACCATTTCAAAATCCCCTGTTTGCAGCTGATGCGTACTGTGACTGGAGATCAGATGTCCATTACTCATGTGTGCCATGGCCCCTTTTAACACCTAGAATTACTAGTTAGCTGCTTGTATTACAGCGAAAGCTGTGACACAGTCACCTTAGCAAGTGTCCTCCAGAATCCCTCTTGCATACTGTGAGCAGGTCCTGGTAGTTACTGCAGACCATCTCAAACTGTATCTTAAACTAATATTTGGCTTATGAGTGACAAAGAAGAGAGGTAAAATTGAAAAGTATGTAGAGGGGGAGGAAGATGGGAAAATCTGATCATGACACATTCTTTAAACAAGACCCCAGAAAAGTTAATCGGTTTAATTTTGGTTGACTGAGCAGATTTATGATCTTTGTGTAGAAGGAAATCTTAAGAAGACCTTGGAAATTAGGTAAGAACAGTATTTCAGGTCATGTTTCATCCTGAACAAGCAGTGCAGTGCTAGAAAGTTTGTGAAGGTAAGAAAAAGAGAAAGAAGACAACAAAGTTATTGGAAATGAACATATTTTTTAGCCATCTGGGATAGGGAATGGTATCACAGAAAAGTAGGATCTGAAGATTGAAAATCAACTAGTATATGACAGCAAGCTGAAAAGAGGAGTCAGGGAGTTGTAAAGAACAATCAAGCAAATGTAGGAAATCTAGTTACTACACGCAGAGAAGGATGCTGAACAACAACAACAACAACAAGATATTACGCAAAGGTTCTTTTAAATGAGGGTAATAAAAAACCTCCTTTCTACATCTGAGGCAGTGTACAGTGAGAACTAGAAAGATTAATAGGAAAAATGCATCAATGAATAAATAAACCAAGGTAAACTCTAGAACAGAAATATCTACCAATAATTTTGACAGTTCATCAGACTGTTCAAAAATCAAACATATTAGTAATGTAAGGAAGGTTACCACCTCAGTCCTAATGTTACTGACAATCATTTGGGGGTTCTAAAATAACCCTGAAAACCAAAAAAATTCCCCCATGGAGCAGAGCACATGATCTGCCCAACACAAAGAACATGGGAGAAGGTTCCTCTAGGTTCAGTGCTTGTCGCTGACGTTCTACTAAGAACTGGAGATACATGGCTGGAGTACAGTGCTGCACTAGTGCAGACATGGGGTTTCTGTGTTGGAGGCAATATGTACCTTGCACAGGGTAAACTAAGTCTATATATACAATTTGCAAAAATCTGTATGGATAAATGTATCTCTATTTATCTAAGAAAATCCTGAAAGCAAAATACAAGGGAAGCTTTGTTGAAGTTGTGCAGGAAGTTCGCGTCTCTTTTAAGTTAAACAAAACTTATTGAAACTTACTGTAGTGAGATTAGCATATTACATTGTTCAACTGAAGTAAAAGTGTCTCCCTTATGCTGATTTATTAGAATTGGGATGTAAACAGAGCTAGGTGTTTTATATACAATGAGATGAATTCAGATTAGCCTGTAGTTTGACTTTATTTCCTATTCTTTACTGATTTGCTAAAAGAATGGCCTTATTCCAAACTAGCTTAATTCTCTTATGTAATTCCATAGCTGAAAACGCTTGCATTTGAATTAATGTGTGGTTTGTTTTTTTTTTCCAAAAAATTAGATATCAAACTATATATGAGCATTTCAATTGTCTGGGGTCAGATCAGTGTCATGAACAATGAAATGATTTATTACTGCTCTTCCAGTTGAAGATAATGTGAAAGGATCTTAGTAGCCTAATGAAGTTTTTTGTAAAGACAC